CAAAGCAGATATTTTCTTCATTTTACAGAGGTAATAGTGAAACTCAAAGGTTTAGTAACTTTCTCAAGACATAGCTAATTAGGTGGCAGGGAGGCATGGAATTTGAATCACTCTGTTACGCAGATTCTTAAAGGGAAGGAATGAGATTATAGAAATCTTTTTTTTTAAACTTTTCTTTAGAAGAGACTATTTGTAGATAATACCATGGCAAAAACGAACGGATCAAAAGTCACCTTGGAGTTCACTGTCTTAAAATGTTTAAAACTAGCTAGTTAGAAAAGTTATTGGTGGTCTTCGTTGTATTGTATTAACATTGAACATTTTGATGACCATGGAAAGTTGGTGTTTCTAATATTGGTAGCACACAGAAAATTACTGTTAGGGTCAGGTGGAGCTAGAGACCAACCTGAATGCTGACCTTTGAACCAATCAGCATGCAACAATTGAGGCTAATGGGAAAGCGGCCTATGGACTGAGGCAAGCCACAGGGGTTCTGCCACCCGACCCCCACAAAGTCTGATGTTATATTCCTAATTAACATCTTCCTCAAATCTCCAGGGTAGCCACTTCATGACTGAAGCACAGTTTGCCTGTTAAATTGTTGTTTCTTTTACTGTCCTATTATTTTGCTGCCTTAGGTGTGTGGTTGCCTCTGTTGTTGCAAAAAGCCACTTGAGTGGAACTTGCCAGTGTCTCTCTCTTTTTTTTTTTTTTAACTACAGCCCTACGGGGGACAACATTGGAGACACAGTGCTGGAATTGTGCCCGATCTGTGCAACAGAACAGCAAGGGGAAGAGAGCAACGAAGTCCCCCAGGGAATACCAAAAATAGACTTTGGGGCCAGGGCACCCCATCAGACTTGACCAGAAAACACTCCTAAAGGTCAAAAAATAACCTTGAACTATTTACAAGCTTTTCTTTTTTTGTCATCGGTTTTTTTGTTGTTGGTTTTGTTTTCTTTTGTTGCTGTGTTTTGTTCTGTCTTGTGTTTTGTGCATGATACTATCTTTGCAGGTCTATCTAGACAAGATAGGTGGGATAAACAATCTGGAGGAAAAAATAACGGACTGACGGTTCTGGGGGGACATGGGAGAGGGGGAGGTGGGGGAAAGAAAGTGGGTGTTAACAACCCCAGGGACAAGGGAACAGTGATCCAAATTGATGGCTAGGAGGCTGTAGGAGGCCTGGTAGGGCTTGATCAAGGGCAATGTAATCAAGAAGAATTACTGAAACCCAAATGAAGGCTGACCATGATAGTGGAATATGAGGAAAGTAAAAGGAAATAGAGGAAAGAACTAGGAGGCAAAGGGCATTTATAAAGGTCTAAATACAAGCATGCACATATGTAAATATATTTATATATGATGGGGAAATAGATTTATGTGCCCATATTTATAGGTTTAGTATTAAAGTAGGCAGATGGACACTGGGCCTCTACTCAAGTACTCCCTCAATGCGAGAACATTTTGTTCTATTAAACTGGCATTCCATGATGCTCACCTTCCCAACACGATTGCTGAAGACAAAGCGGGTGCATAAGCTGATGGTGCCTGGCTATCAAAAGATGTAGTGTCTGGGGTCTAAAAGCTTGAAGGCAAACAAGTGGCCATCTAGCTCAGAAGCGAAAACCCCACATGGAAGAAGCACACCAGCCTGTGTGATCACGAGGTGTCAAAGGGATGAGGCATCAGACATCAAAGAACAAAAAATCATATCATTAAGAATGAGGGGAAGTGCAGAGTGGGGACCCAAAGCCCATCTGTAGGCAACTGGACATCCCTTACAGAAGGGTCACAGGGAGGAGACAAGCCAGTCAGGGTGCAGTGTAGCACTGATGAAACTTAAAACTTTCCTCCAGTTCTTAAATGCTTCCTCACTCCACTATCATGATCCCAGTTCTACCTTACAAATCCAGCTGGACCAGAGGATGTACACTGGACCAGATAGGAACTGGAAACACAGGGAATCCAGGACAAATGAACCCTTCAGGACCAGTGGTGAGAGTGGAAATACAGGGAGGGTGGAGAGAAAGTGGGGTAGAAAGGGGGAAGTGATTAAAAGGATCTACATATAACCCCCTCCCTGGGGGCTAGACAACAGAAATGTGAAGGGAAACATCAGACAGTGTAAGACCTGAGAAAATAATAATAGTTTATGAATTCTAAAGGCTTCATGAGGGAGGGGGTGGCAGGGAAGGAGGGTAAAAAATGAGGAGCTGATACCAAGGGCTCTAGTAGAAAGCAAATGTTTTCAGCATGATAAGGACAACACATGTCCAAATGTGGTTGACACAATGGATGGATGCATGGATTGTGATAAGTGTTGTATGTGGTCTCCATGAAATGATTAAAAAAAGAAAAGACACAACCTGCACACACACACACAAGTACCTCAACAGTTGTTGAGTTCTTCATTTCATGAAGACATGAAATCATCTTTGTATTAAATGCTACTCTTCATAGTTGATCTGGAATTACCACCAGGTACTCTAGAACCTTTCTAGGGTTCACTTGTTGGGGTTCACGATGCACATGTTATTCTTGTGATCCTGAGTCACCTGTGAGTGGAAGACTGTGGGGATCTGACAACACTGAGTGCAGATCCATGTGTGTTATTTGCTTCCCGTTCCTTCAACCAACAATTCATTCTCCTTGTTTGTTGTACACATGGCTGAGGCTTTGGGGGGGAATGGCATGCACCCCTTCCCTCTATGGTCTCAAGCAGCTCAATGCTGCTTGTGAACCTGCATGCCCCACTTCTGTAAACAGACGGGGAACAGTCCCAGGGCCCACCCTCCTCCAGAGACTGCTGTAACAACCACCCACTGGTCCTTAAGCATGCCCCGGGATCTGCCACCAACTCCGCCCTAAGGAGTTTCCAAATATTTGCACCATCCTTACATCGTATCTTCTCTGACAGAAGTTTTTGTTAACTCAGTGCTTCTGGTTTCATTATGTTTCCAGACGTATTTTAATGTCCTGTCCCAGGCAGTGTCCAGCCCTTGAAACCCCTTTAACAAGGCTCTGTTCAGGGTAAGTCCACTCCCTGCGCTCAGGCATAGCATGCCGGCCTCACTCCATGTGGATCACTCCTCCCTTTGCCAGAATGCCCTCTTCTCCTTGTCTCCATTGTATCTCCTCCAGCCCTTTACTGATTCTGCTTGCTGACACTCTCTCACAATCCTTGGGACTATGTGAGCCAATATCGCTTTTTAGAGATCTGGGAACCTCTTCAGAATCTGTGGTCAAGTCTTAGTCTGTGGTTATAGTTTTCCATATAACAAACCTTTTCTCCATCTTTAAAAAGGTGTTCAAAAGAGATAGTTATCATCTTAGGTATGGGCAACTTTCAAACCATGTCCCACAAAGTAGGTTATTAATATTCACTTAAGAACATGCAAATATTTTTGAAATATGTACCTAACATATTTTTAAATTAAAATTTATACATGACTATAATTAAAATTATAATTTTATAATTATAATTAAAGTATACATACTCACCATGAAAAGATAGAGGTAAATTTTCGATTGTGAAAATAGACAACTAAACTGCTACTACAATTTTAAATAAATTTATCTGAATAGATATATTTATATGGAGCACTTATAAAAAATTGAAAAGCTATTTTTTCAACAATGCTGTTGTTACATCATCAACTGAAAACATATTTAGAATTCCTGGTTTAGAATGGTCTTCAGGGCCAATCTGGTAGTCACTGAAGAAAATTATATTCTATTTATTTTATAATGATAAGTATTGATACCAAAACCAGTTCTAACAACTTGATCATCCCAATCCACCTCATCCACTAATCTTGATATCAAACGGCATTTTGTTGTTTTCCAAAATTTTTATTCTGCCTTTGGAGGATGGAGATTTGCCGCCATTTAAAAACAATGATGCCACGTCCAAAATAAAGGAGTCTACGATAAGAAGAACGGAATGAACCCCTAAAATAAAAACCTTGAAGGTGATAGCATGCATTGATGGCTACATTTGGTTATTTCTATTTGCAAATTGGAGACACTACTTTCTGATATGCTCTCTGCACAGCTCTTTTGTGATTGTGTTAACTTCCCTGGACATTCTAAAAGTAAAGTGCAATGAAACTTATTTCCCATGTAGTAATAAAGGAGATAATGATTTTGAGAAACGATGTACAAATGCGCTTTACACAATTGATGTGTGTATGGATTGGGATAACAGTTGTATGAGCCCCTAATAAAATGTTAAAAAAAAAAAGTGCCCACAGAGCTACAGTGTCATTTCTCCAGTGAAGGAGCACCGGTCCTATGTTACCTAAACCCACAAAAAATACATCTGGAATTACCTAGTTGAAAGCCAAATCTGGAAAAACCATTCTCCATAAGAAAGCATCCTTCTCTATTGCTCCAAGAGCGCATTTAATTTCTAGGAGCTCATCAAATAAAAATTCAACTCCACACACAAAAAAAAATAATAAAGTAGATAATGAGTTTGTAAAAAAGAAAAATGATTACCCTAAACATACATATATACATAATACATCAGTGTTTCCTTTTACCATGTAGGAATCTAAGAATTGCACTGATAAAATGATGTACTATTCTTAATATTCAAAGATGTACTCCTCCCTCTCACAACAGTACCCGGTTCTCCCCAGAAGTAATCATTGCTATTATATATATAATATATCCTTCCAGAGCTACTCACTACATATATAGCTTTATAAAGCAGTTCATATGTTTTACATTATTTTTTATCATAAATGATAGCTTGATGTACAAAGAACAGGAGCCCTGATGGTGCAGTGGTTACGCATTGGGCTGCAATCCGCATGTTCAAGCAATTTGAAACTACCAGCAGCTCCTTGGGAAAAAGACTGGACTTTCTAATCCCTAAAAACAGTTACAGTCTTGGAAACCCACAGAAGAGTCACTATGAGTCAGCATTGTCTCAATGGAAGTGAGGTTTTTTTTTTAATCTGTTATTTTTTAATTATCTAAAGTCTTTTTTTTTTAATATGGAACGCTTCATGAATTTGCGCGTCATCCTTGCGCAGGGGCATGCTAATCTTCTCTGTATCGTTCCGATTTCAGTATAGGTGCTGCCGCAGCGAGCACCATCTTAAGTCTTATGAACACATAATTTACAAATTTGTCCCAGTAAGATATCTCCTCTACCTTAGTTTTCCTAATGACTTTCTAAAAGCACCAATCATATATTCAGTAGTTCAACAGTTTTATGTGTTTTTGAATAGCTGTTTGAAAGACGTATCATGAATTACAACTTACAAATTTAAACACAAACTGGGGTCTTAAAGGCTTGAAGGTAATCAAGCGGCCATCTAGCTCAGAAGCAACAAAGCCCACATGGAAGAAGCACACCAGCCTATGCAACCACGAGGTGTCGAAG